TCTACCAGCGATGGGAGTTGGTATTTTTTGCGACATTAGAGAATAAATTGTTTTGATTCAGAGATGGGAGACGGGGTTCTGACTTCAGGGATGGGAGTCGGTAATCCTTTTTGTTGTGACTTTTAGTTTACGATGGGTCAAATTTTGAGAGTCAAATTTTGTCCCGAGGGGTTTATTTTTGGAACCCGATGTTTCATTGGCTTCCTTAGCTCCTTCTTTGGGTTTATTGGTTTATCCAGAAGATTACTTTTCCTAGACTACTTTTTCGGAATTTTTAGTTCTAAAAGAGCATTTTTTTTCTAGGAGGATATTTTTCTCCTCTCCCTGTTGAAGTTTGCTCGAATTAGAGAATTGGCCCCGTTTTAAATATTTCATCTCTAAAGGTTATTTATTAAGCGTTATCTCTCTCTCTCGTTATCTCCCTCTCTTTATCTCTCATTATTGATTTCCGTTCTCTCTTAGAATAATATCCACCTACAATCAGCTTCTCCCTAACACCCTAACAAATTACATATCACTTTCAAGTTCCTTCTCCTCCAACTGCCCCTCCTCTTACTGTCCTCCACCACTGCTGGTGGTGGTGGTAGTTGCCACCTTATCCAATTCCTCAATTTCATGATTTAATTTATTCAACTCCACGTCGAGTAGAGCATCAATTTCATCGCTAAATTCCAATTCCGTTTTACCATCTTCGATAATTTCATCGGTAATAATTTTACGGGTAATTTCAATATTCACCGGAGCGGGAGTTTTGGGTAGAGGTGGTGGTGGTACATCATCGGAGGGTAGATAAAATTTCGAATTTTCAATATTATGAATCTCATTATATTTCACGGTGTCCAATGCCTGTAATTCGGTTTCGGTAAGGACCAAAGGTTTACTGTTGGAGGGAAGTGTATCTGAGGTTTCGAGAGGTCGATATGCTTCCTTTACCTCTTCTTTGTGTTGTTGTTGTTGATCGTGCTGCTGTTCTTCGGTGTCCTTGTTGCCACCACCCACTCCGAAATTTTTCTTTATAAAATCGAAAATATTTTTCGCCTTGTTACCCAATTTGGGAGAAGCTTGGGGTTTGGGAGAGGGTGTGGGATTCGGGTTGGTGCTTGAGACTGGCGGTTTTGGTGAGGCCGGTGGGGTACTGGTGGTGACCTTAATTTGTGTCTCCACCACATGCATGCGGGCTATCACCGCATCATCTTTAACGGGGGAAGATGTTTGAGAGGTCTGTCTCTCGGTTTTGTTTTTCAAATCTGCCTCATTCATGGATTCGGTGGCAGTACAACAGGTATTAAGGGGCTTGGGAATTTTCGATTTTTTCTGTAGTATCGGTGTGGATTTGGGTGACACAGGGGTATTGGGTAGGGACGATTTCAGTTGGTCATTAATTTGTTTCTCCTCGGCAATGATTTTTTCACAAGTCTCAATGAGGGCCTTTGAATGTGCTGCCCTGGCATCCATAATCGGTGAATGGGGTGGTGTGGCAAAGAAATTATCACGTTTCTTTAACTCCGAAGGGGAGACACTTTGGTAGGCTGTTATGGGTTGTCTTTTGTCCTGGGGCAGGGCATGGACATCCAGCTTGAGACAGGTTTCATCTACGGCTGTAGGTGCTGCTGGGGCATCCTGCATTTTGTGTATTATTTTCGGTATACCAGTGGATTTTTTCAAATCCCCTTTGGATATATCTTTGAATCCAGTGCAGGGGGTTTTCTTATCAATCGGCAGGGCTTCGACATCTACCTTTTGGCAGAGATCCTCTTCAACGGTATGTTGCCTTTCAAAGTTCACAAAGTTGGGGGTGGCTGCCATGGAGGTTAGCAAATTTGTACAGAGGGCAGAGTCGAGATCCAATGAGGTGGTAGATCTGGGACTAATGGGACTTTGTGGTGCGGAAGAGGCTAATTTGTAGAGGGTAGATTCGTTGGGAGGGCATTCCACCAAATTGGGTAATTCCGCTGGTATGACAAGGGTGGGAGCTGTGGAGGTCATTTCGGAAAGGGATTTCTTGGACGATGTCGGATGGGCCCGCATATTGGAGGGGGGAGTGAGGGGAGTGGTGGGCCTTAAATTTGATGGAGGGCTATGCGGAGTTTTTGGACTTTCCGGCTCTTCAACTATGTATTCAGGAGTCGTGGGAGATTTTGGGCCTTCCGGGAAAAATTGATTAGTTGGTGATTTTGGAGATTTAGGTTCCTCGGGTAAATATTTTTCATACAGCGTCGAGACCACCAAGGGTTTTGTGGTACGAAACAGCTGAGACCTTGGTGAAAAGGAGATGTTGGTCCCGCTACCGAATTTTGGGATACATCAATGCTTAGGTGTTCTTTTTTCACAGAACCTGAAGTGGGGCTTGTGAGCTTTACTTTGCCCCGTATTTCCCCGGTATCTTTTACCACAACCTTCAAAGGCTGTAGAGGAGTTTCAAAGGGCAGGCTGGGAGGTTTTGCTTCCACCGTTTCCGTATAATTAATTTCAGTATTCAAGAAATCTTTCATGGTCTCTTTGAGAGCTAACATTTCAGGGGTTTCAGGGATGGAAGTTTGTGATTCTTGGGATTTCACAACTTCAGGGATGGGAGTATGAGATTTCTGGGATTTAAGATCCACATTTTGATTGGACATTTTGGGTAATTCCTTTTGCGAAGTAGAAAATGTTGTGGCCCTGTCAACCTCATCCGTGCCAGAGATGGGAGTTGGGAGTCCTTTTTGCTGTGACATTTGGGAAGAGGGGATTTTGCCGTCAGAAATGGGAGATGGTAATTGCTTTTGTTGCGAATTTTGGGAAGTCAGGGTTTTGCTGTCAGAGATGGGAGTTGGCAATCCCTTTGGTTCAATATTTTGGATCCTTAGAGGCTTTGTTTCACAAGTCTCGGAAAATTGTTTTTCTGTGTTTAGGAAATCCTTTAAAAGGGCCTTGAGAGCCAAATTTTCTTCAGTGGTCTCATCGTTGGAACCTGGGGATTTTTTGATTTCCTTGGTCTCTTTTTCAGGGTTCTTAGGTCCAGCAGAGGTTTGGGAGCCTGGGGCTTGCTTTACTACTTTTTCAGAAGTTTTAGAAGAAGATTTTATTCCTTGGAGGATATTTTTCTCTTTCGAGGATTTCTCTCCCCCTGCCTTCTCTACATGAATCTCCTTTACTTCTTCCTGTGCGGAGGTGATCACTTCCTCCCTGACCTCTCTTAAGGGATTTTTATTATCTCCCACTGCGAATTTCTCTTCCCGCTGGGCATGAATTTGAGCACTTGTCTCCACTAGCGTGGGAGTCACTGGCATCGACTCACTTGAGGAATTTGACATGATCGACAGGGTTTTATTGGCTTCGATAACGGTACCAATTGTGGTATTCGATGAGGTTGAGGTGGATGAGGAAATCATCGATTGATGCATTGGGTCATCCAGAGCATTAACGGCAAATGGAGATTTCTCTAGCACAGTGGTAGTGGTGGTGTTGTTGTTGTTGGTTGTGCGTGCCACTAACTTATTGGGTGTCATCTTACCTGCAGCAGCACCACCACATGTAGAGCGGGTATCGTTCGATGCCTGAAAGCAGCTAGAAAGCGCTTTAACTGTATTGGGTTTCGGTAACTCATCCGGATTGACAATTGTCACTGGTGGAGCACAAATAACAATTTCCGCGGAGGGCTGAGGCAGCTGTTGTTCCGCAGATGCTGATACTGAGGAGGAGGTGGGGGATGGTGGCGGTGCCACGACAGGCTTCATTGCTTTGCTTGCAGCAGCAGCAGCTGATGAACTACCAATGGGCTTTGGTATGGGTATGTTTGGTGTGGTCGATGCGGAACCTTCTATGGTTTTTGCTATGGCTTTGACACCAACTCCCGCAACCTCTCCTCCTTTACCTGATAAATCATGATTTACTTTGTGGTTAATCTGAGGTTCATTTGCCTGTTTGGATTTCTTTTCAAAGAGAGATTTTTTCTCGGCCAACGTTAAGGCAGCTGCCTCATCTGAGGTATCCAGGGAGGTGGCCTCCGTCTGTCCTCCATTGGAAATTTCTTCGACTTCTTCTGACTTCTTTACCTCCATGTGAGCGGTGGGTAATGTGATCTTTTCCTGTGGTTCCGATGGCTGTTTGGCAGCATCGCTCACCGTGATGTGGGGCAAATAGGTTATTTTTGTTGTAATTTGAGGACCGTTAGATTTTGTTGTTGTTGTTGCTTGGATGTCATTTGCCAATTGCTGTTTAGAATTGAAAATTTCCACCCGACCATTTATGCTAAATTGAGAATCATGTTTACGTGATGCCAAGGGACTCTGCGGTGGGGTTTCATCATGAAACTTGGTGGTGGAGCGCACGGTGGGAGGGGACATGGGAGTGGAGGCACGTGGAGTGGAGCCTCTAGATAAAATGGGACTGAGGGGAGTTTTGAAATCTCCCACAGCAGCGACCTTGGAGTTATTATCCCCAATCTTATGGGAATCCAGGCCTCTGGGAGTACCGGGCCTTGAAAGTATGGGACTGGTAGGAGTTTCCCTAGAGACCCTAGCCATTATGGGGCTAAGGGGGGTTTTAAATTCCCTAACACCATTTAACTCCTGGGCATGAGGAGTGTTAGGTCTTGAGAGTATGGGACTAAGAGGAGTTTTAATTTCTTTCCTTATGGCACCGGGACCTGCAGGAGGCAATTGTGAATTATTCGAGACTTTGGCTGTTGTTTGATTTTCAAAAATGTGTGTCTTAATGATATCACCCTGATTTTTTGCAGATATCTCCTTCCTTTCCGGTTCATATGGCACCGATTCATCTTCATCCAATTCAATGTCCGACTTAAAGGTATCCTTGAAGATTTTCAAGAGATTTTTGGCATGTACCATTTCATTGGTGGGTTTGCGGCGCAAATTAGAGGCTGATGGCGGCGCACCCACATTTACAACCTTCACCATAGAATTTTCCAAATTACAATAACAACTACTACTATTACTAAGATTACAACAACTACTGGTATCGCTACTGAGATGGGAACATGAAGGGTTAGTAGAACTTACACTATATTCCATATGATCATTAGTAATGCTGGTGGTCGCGTTCGTCGTTGTGGTAGTTCCGGTAGTGGTGTTCGCCAGATTATTGGCATTTGCCAATGGTGGCAGGGTGACCGAACCACCCAAGGATAGCTCTTCAAATTCGGCCTCGATTTGATTCACGGCATTGGCCGCCTCGGCAAATTGTTTCTCCTCCATGGCCAGGGCTTCAATGGCGGCGTTCAATTTGAGTTCCTGCTCTTTTTTCAAATGATCGTCGGGTAGGTCAATATCATCGGCGGTATGGATACCACTGTCGTCACGATCCACTTCCGATGGAGAGGAGGATGAATCGTTTTTATTATTATTAATTATTGTCGTTGTGGATGATGCGATCGTCGTTGTGGTGGTGATAACTTCGTTCGACTTGACCTCTTCTTGGTCTTCGACTTCCTGCACTTCAGGTATAACCTCAGTTTTTTGTTGTGAAACTTGCTGTTGTTGTTGCTGCTGCTGTTGTTTGGCCTTCTCTTCCTCACTTTTCATAATCTCCAGCTGGCGGGCATCAACCAAGGCCACTGGGGGTTTGCGGGCCACAACAACTTCTTCTTTGGTAACAGCGTTTTGTAAACTAGATAAGCGCTCCTTCAGGGGTGGCACTGGTACATCGACTAATTTATTGACCGGAGATTTTTGTTGATTGCCTGCACCTGGGCCAGCAGCTGTACCATTTGCACCGTTGACTAAATTCTGTTGCTTCTGCTGTTCTAAGCTTTGCAGACGTTCCTTAATGCTGGTTATGTCGCCGGATAGACGTCGTACCTCCTTTTTAGCTGGAGCAGTTTCAATATTTTCCGATTCCACCGAGGGCTTGAAACGATCTCTCAACGTAACTCTGGGTACACCGGTAGAGGTCGTAGTAGTATTTCCACTCTGTTTCTCCTTGGCAGCCGCCTGGGCCTCGAAAATTTCCTTACGCTTGGAAATATCAATTTTTGGTAAATCAACTTTGGACTTTTCACCCACAACACATTCTTCGCTGGGCGATTGGACTTCGAAGCCAATAAGGCGATCTTCTATTTTGCTACCACGGCGTGGTGGGTAGGCTGAGGTTGATGTCCTCTCCGGGGTGGACTCTTTAGAGTTTCCTTGTAGTTTTGTGGTAACCGAGCTGCTTACAGTTGTGCTGGCTGTAACCGCTACCCTCGACACGCGTTGCTTGTAATCTTGTATGGCACCCTCGTAGGTGTATTCACATGGATCGGGTGTACTAGCCGGTGCTGTACTGGAAGAGGTCTCGTAACCGGGTGATGAAATATATTCACGTGTTGTGCTATTATTGTCGTCGTTTGAGTGGTGATGCAGCTGCGAATGCGAATGCTGGTGCTGCTGCGAATGATGACTGTTGTTGACTTTGTTGTTGTGATTTGTATTAGAATTCGATATGGCCTTGTCTAATTCGGCGGCGTTATCGCTCTGCAAGAAAAAAGGAGAAACAAAGAAGGGGGAAATTTTAAAGTTAGTAACGATTTTAAAGAAGTTCTGATTTAGAATACAACAACAAATTGCTATGCAAAATTTTGAACATGCAAAGTCAAGCAATATTCTAAACAGGGTCTTGAAAAGAGCGGAATATATTTTAAAGGTAGTACGATTATATTACGAAGTCTTACAAATGTTAGAAAACATATTTTGGACTTCAGAGAATAATAGATTTGTTCACGAACCTCTAAGATCCTGAAATAGAATTTTCCGCAAGAAATCGGAAGGAAATATATATGGGAGCTAATTCGGAAACTGAACCGATTTCAACAAAACTTAATACATCTCATTCTAGTCTCAATTTGGTGCGCTGTGCTAAATTTCGTCGTAATCGGACACCATTTACAGGAGATCGGACGAAGTTATACATGGGAGCTATATCTAAGTCTCAACCGATTTCAAGTACAAGTCATTGTAGGCTCAATTCAGAACGCTGTGCAAAATTTCGTGACAATCGGACGAATATTTAGAATTTGTTGTAAATAAGATCGGAATAATATATATTCGGAAGCTATATATAAATCTGAAGCGATTTCAATAAAATGTAATACACATTCTTATAGTCTTAATTCAGAACGCTGTGCAAAATTTCGTCGCAATCGGACAAAAAATGTGTCTTTGGTGCAAACTTTAGATGTAATCGGATATGGGGGCTATACCAAAATGTGGGCCGATATCGATAATTTTTTGTAGGAAGAACCGGTACTCTATAAGAACCCAATATACCACATTACAGCCATTTCGGTTGAAAACCCTGTCCAAGCTCCCCAAAATATCGCAAATTAAGAGTTACCGTTGTATGGGAGCTACCCTAAAAAGTGGACCAATTATGGATATTTTTTGGTAGATATATTTGCTACCCAATGGGAACCAAAAATATCAAATTACAGCCAATTCGGGTGAAAAACGTGCTCAAGATCCCTCAAAATACCGATAATCGGGAGTTATCATTATGTTGGAACTACCCCGAAACATGATAAAATGTTGATAATTTTTTGTAGATATATTTTTGGTATCCAATAAGAGCCCAAAATAACAAATTACAACATGTCGAAAATTTTTCAATGAGAACCAAATTACAGCCAATTCGGCGGAAAAATGTGCCCAAGCTCCTCAATATACTGAATATTTGGGGGTACCGTTAGATGGGAGATACTCTGAAATGTGGTCCAAAATATATAATTTTTGGAGGGATGATTTCCTACCCATTGAGTACCCAAAATACCATATTTCTGCCAATTCAACACATTACAGCGAAAACTCTTACCACAATTCGCAAAATACCGGGTACCGTTATATTGGACCTATTCCAAAATGTGGACCGACATATCCCATTTTTAATACCAAACATCCTAGAAGTAGTAGCAATGTATGGGCAATATTTGAAACCTCAATCTGAATTATTGAATTTTATAGTAGAGGTTGAGTCAAATGTAGTTCCACGTTGGGCGCCATTATATGATATGTTTCCTGGCATGTCAAAAGTGATACGGGGATAAAGCCTAGAACTCAATAAATTTTAATACATTTTTGACTTAACCCTACGTTGGGCGCCAGTCGCTGAAGGGCAATTTAAGTAAATAACGTGATTTTATTTACAGAATATTTTTCAGGGCTTGAATATGAATGTGTAAAAAAGTCATATCCTGCAGTTCAACTGATTAATATTGTTCCACGTTGGGCGCCAAAGCATGGAACTGAATAGATGACCAAGGGAAGAATATGTGTTTGTATTGTCACATATTGTAATCAATTTTTTACTAAGGCCCACGTTGGGCGCCAGTCAATGAAAGACTGATTAAAAAATGCTTAATTCTTCTTTAAGGAATATTTTTAACCTCCAAAAGAGGCATAGATTTTTTAAAGAATATTTTTTCAAGCAACCAAATAAGGCGTAGATTTTTTAAAGAATATTTTTTCGAGGGTCCACCAAACAAGGCGTGGATTTTTTAAAGAATGTTTTTTCAAAAGTCCAAACTAGGCGTAGATTTTTTAAAAAATATTTTTCAAGGGTCCAAACAAGGCGTAGATTTTTTAAAGAATATTTTTTACCCTCCAAACAAGGCGTAGATTTTCTAAAGAATATTTTTTTACCCTCCAAACAAGGCGTCGATTTTTTAAAGAATATTTTTTTACCCTCCAAACAAGGCGTAGATTTTTTAAAGAATATTTTTTCAAGGCCCCGAACAAGGCGTAGATTTTTTAAAGAATATTTTTTCAAGGGTCCACCAAACAAGGCGTGGATTTTTTAAAGAATATTTTTTCAAGGGTCCACCAAACAAGGCGTGGATTTTTTAAAGAATATTTTTTCAAGGGTCCACCAAACAAGGCGTGGATTTTTTAAAGAATATTTTTTCAAAGGTCCACCAAACAAGGCGTGGATTTTTTAAAGAATATTTTTTCAAGGGTCCACCAAACAAGGCGTGGATTTTTTAAAGAATATTTTTTCAAGGGTCCAAACAAGGCGTGGATTTTTTAAAGAATATTTTTCCAAGGCTTATCCGAGGCGTGGATTTTTTAAAGAATATTTTTCCAAGGCTTAACCGAGGCGTGGATTTTTTAAAGAATATTTTTCCAAGGCTTAACCGAGACGTGGATTTTTTAAAGAATATTTTTCCAAGGCTTAACCGAGGCGTGGATTTTTTAAAGAATATTTTTCCAAGGCTTATCCGAGGCGTGGATTTTTTAAAGAATATAATATTTTTCCAAGGCTTATCCGAGGCGTGGATTTTTTAAAGAATATAATATTTTTTCGACCTGTAATCTGAGGAATTTTTTTTTTTTTTGGAAAAAATCCCAATAATGACAACATTGTTCACATGTCTAGTATTTACATTTGAGAGAGAAATATAGAGAGAGAAATAAATAAATATTATATCCTTATTTATTCTCTCTCTCTCTTCACCACGAGAGCGAAATGTGCGAATTTTAAATACCCCACTTATGTCAGCCACTTATAATAACAATTGTTTCACTTTTGTTTTCAATTTTTATTATATTGTTGTTGGTGTTGTTTTTTTTGTGAATTTCAATATTGTAAAAATTCTTAAAATAAATCATGGAAATTTTCTTAAACAAATTTTGTGGGGTGATTTGAAAAATAAATCATAACAATAATATACATATATGTGTGTATATATCATAATTTTTCAAATATTTTTTCGCATATTTAAATTTTGAATCCCAAACTAAAAATTATTAGACACTTGTTGTTTAAAAAAAAATATATGGGAAATCGTGATGTCAGTTTGTTTACAGTTTCACTTTTCTTGCTTTGTACACACACACATTTTTCACAAAATTCTTATTGGAATTCTTCAGTTCCGCATTGCAGAAAAAAATGCGCCAACACTTCCGTTTTACCTCAGTAACCTTAGATTTATTACTTCTTCTTCTTCTTCTTATATCACAAAAAATTTAATTAAAAAAAAAATATTTTAGTTGAATTTTCTTGTAACGAAAAAAAAATTAACAAAATATTTTCGGTTTTTCTTTTCGTTGTCGATTTTCAAGCGATAGCAAAGCAAAAATATTGAAAA